AAATTTTCAAAGTTAACTCTCCGTTTGCTATATTTATCATATTATTCCTCCCACCTTCTTCTTAATGTTCATCTTCTTCCTTTGCTCATATTTTTTCTTCCCACCCACCTTAACCTTCTCCCTCCAATCCCTACACACTTTCACCTTATCTTCAAAGTTTGCCAACTCCATTTCCGCCGGTAAATTAAACAAAAACCCTAATAACAAAAAGAGAAATTAATGGCATGGTTAACCCTATAGGGTAGTTGAGTTTTCCTTCATTAAATTTGATTTCGGACCACCATTTCCGACCAAAATAACAAAGTGAGAATAACGGGCATGATTAACCCCAAAGAGTAGATAAGTTGCGCTTTTCTCCCTCTATTGATTTCGACTTGTTTGACGTCATATAATGAAAAAGTGTACCTTCCACCATTGAAATTGAAGGTTAAAGGAGAGAGAAAACAACAAAAGGTTGAAGAAGGAGAGAGAAAATTAGAAAATATCAAAATACCAAAAAGTTGAAAGAGGAGAGAGAAAACAACGGTCAACCAAAGTTAGATGTACTTTACATATGCATCCCTTGATAAAACAATTCTTGTTTATCAAGGTTATAAACTTGTATTTTCTCTTTAATTTATGTGGTTAACTTTGATTCAATGGAGGAGTGAAAAGCTCACATTAACCTTAAGGATGTAGCACAACCACCGAAAATGATGGTGTCATGGTCGTTAAAAATGTTGGTGTCAATGGATACGAAGAAGTTGAAATTGTCGGGGGCATAGACACCTATTTTGGGGTTATTTTGTTTTTCATCCTCAAATTTAGAGAAACACATTTGAGAGCTAGCAGGGTTCTTGTTTTGTAACCCTTGTGCTTTAGAGAGTGGAAAATAGTGAGAGACTACTCTTGTAAATACCAATTGAAATTAATACAACTATTCTCCTTGTTTTGGATGGGTTTTATATTCTTCCAATAATTGCTAAATTCAAGGATTTTCTCACCTTCCAATATCTTGTCTCTTTACTACCAAATATTTTTAATTATTCTTTGCTAATTACTTCAATTTATCAACCATTTGCTCTAGTAGTAATAATAATTATAGTAACAACAATATTCTTAATCCTAATAATACCTTGTGCTTTAGAGTGGAAAATAATGAATAGTAACAACAACAATAATAATCACTAATTATTATTATTAACAATAATAATCATTAATTAATAATAATACTAATTACTACTACTAAAAAAGTTAGCAAACCAAAATAATAAGGAAATTATGCAAAATAACACCACCAAAAATCTGAAAAATTGATTATAACACCTCAAGAAAAAAACTTTAATTATAACACCACTGTAGGGAATAATTTCAAGCCTTTAAATCCCACTAGCTTGAACCCCACTGTGATCATACACTAAAGTACGGTGGCGTCCAAAAGGGAAGAAGATAGAGCAAAAGAGTCGCCAACAAGTTTTTAAGGAACTTGTAAACCGTTCATAGGATGAAGGTTACACCCCTTAACGATCCAAGAGATCGTCAACTCCATAAGGTCATGAACCAAATAAGGGTTCGGGGATGATGGTACAAATCCAACCTAAAAGAGATTGAACCTGCCCTAATAATAGGCCTCTACTTTATTCTGATCGTATTCATGTGTGCTTTCTGATTAACATGCAATCAATAGGATTAACCCTAAACCTGTTTATCTATGTTGGTTGAATTTTAATGCACAAATAAACTATTATTGGCGATCACTTAAATTATAATCACAATAACCCTAAACAAGATTATTAATTATCTTATTAAGCGTGATTACAAGTACAAATTCCCTTTAAACATGCATAAAAGGTGTGATCAAGCAATAACAATAAATATCAAGCAACAATGATAATAATTATGAATAATAATAATAATAATCATAATAAGTAAAATAATCATCATCAAAATAATAATAATAATAATAATAATAATAATAATAATAATAATAATAACAATTATAAACATGTTCATGTTAATATTAAGCATAATAGTAATAGCAAGATCCTAGGCATGATACTAACAAGATTAATAACAAACCCTAGCATGTCACTAAGCAATAAAAATCAAATCTTTAACCCTAACATGATACTAACAATCATAAATATTAGGAAGAACATAGGAAGCATCGTAACAATCATATTTAATATTAAAAATACCCTAGACATGATACTAGGAATATCATAATAACAATGTAAACATGATTTCTACATCATAACATCAATAAAAACATTAAATTACTTACTTTGATGCCTCGTACCTCTTTCTAATTACAAAATACACGCGTTAGTAACTTCAAGGAAAAATAATAAACAAAGCAATTAAATTAAATAATTGAAAGAGAGATTAAGGACCAAACCCTCTGAAATTAAACCTTTCACGTTTAGGGCGAAGGCAACTTCGAATATGGCTAGGTGTTTCTTGATCTTGTGAATGCGGAATTTTGTATGAAAACAAAGTAAGAAAGAAAGATGAATGTTTTAAAGAATGCTAATTAAACTTGTGAATGAAGAGAATTGGTGAATGATAGATGTAGATGATGAATGATGAATGAAAACGGAGTTTTCGATACGATATTTATAGAGAAAATCAGCCAAAAAAGATAATTTAACAAAACAGAGTCTGACGCTCAAGAAACAGAGCTGGCGCCAACCCTGGCTAGCTGGCGCCAGGCACCAACGGCTAGCGCCTGGCGCCAAGCCTGGTTCCAGGCGCCAAGGCCTGGGGTTGGACGCCAGTCTTGATTTTAACGCGTTTTTGAAAATCCTATAAGTTTACCGTACTGGAGGATAAAATAATATAATTTCTTCGAAAATGCTATTTGATTTCGATTAAAATTCTGAAAAGTCAACAAAGTCAACTTATCAATGCTAATCGATTAGGAATGAAAAGAACTTTCTAGAAGATTCTAGAAGACTAAAACCATTCCTAATTGCATTAGGAATGATAAATCATATTAGGCCCTCCCCTAGATCATTGGGCCGTACATAAAGCTCAAACCGGGTCCAGTTTAGTAAATTGGCCATAACTTCCTCAATATTCATCGGAATTGGGCTTATAATATATCGTTGGAAAGATCTTTGCAAGCCCCATCCAACTACACCACTTTTGGACCCATATCATGGACCAACCAAACTGTATTGGCTGTTTTCTTAAAATAAAGTTTTCAAAAACAGAAAGAAGAGAAAAGAAATAAAAACTTTCCGCAACACTAGACCTTTCCACACTTTCGTTTCATTCGATTATGATTCGACGTGAAAGGTACTCATCACTGGGTTTGGTTTTGGGGAGACACAAATGGGTGTCTACAACCACAAAATAATGCCAAAATTTGATTTCACCACCACTTAACGGATTCTTGGATGGAATCCGTTAGTGGGACCCTAACAGACACGTGTCAATAAGCTATTGGTTTAAAAAAATTAATTATTTTTTTTAAAAAAACCTCAACCGGCTAAACCCAGCCAGCCCCAACACCGACATTGTAGCCCCCGTCTCCGGCATCCCCTGCCCCCACCTTGACCGCTGAAATCAGCCCAACCACCACCTCTTAAACCGGTGACTCCCCCGACCTTCCCCCTCCTCCCCGAAAACCATCCCTACCCATTGAAACCACCCAACTCATTCTCCCCCTCCCCAAAAACAACCCGCCCTTCACCGAGAAATCGAAGTTTCTGGGACTTCGCAGGTCAATTTCATCCCTTCGGTCGTTTTGAGGGCGGAGGGTAAGGCTGAAATCGACCTTTGAACCCCAAAGTGGTGGAATTCATTATGGTTCGTACGTTGGGTGGTTTCCAGGGAGAGGGAATGGGGTTTCGGCGACGTTTCTGGTAGGGGGAGAGGAGTTCGGCGACGGTTCTAGGTAAGGGGAGAAAAGTTCGGCGACAGTTTGGGTAGGGAAAAGGAGGGCGACGATGGTGGTGATGTTTCTGTGGTTAGGCTTACGGCAGTAAGGCTGGTCGGCAGTGGTGCGCAGGAAGCCTGGTGGTGGGAGTGGTGGCTGGGTTGGGTTTGAGGTTTTTTTGTTTTTAAAAAAAACCAATTGAGATGTGACACGTATCAATTAAGGGGTCCCACTAACGGATTCCATCCAAGAATTCGTTAAGTGGCGGTGAAAGCAAATTCCGTTTTTTTTTTTTTTTTTTTTTTGTGGTGTTACAATTATTTTTTTTGGTGGTGTTATAATCAATTTTTCAGCTTTTTTGTGGTGTTATTTTGCAAAATTTCCAAATAATAATAATCACGGCTACTAATAATAAAATTCAAAAAGCCACAAATAGTAACATTAACAATATTAATCATCTCTATTGGAACACAATAATAAATAACAAATTGACTAACATAACATTAAAATTAATAAAACCCAATATTAACTAATATAATAATAATAATCAGCATAATTATTTACAAGCTCAATAAAAAAAAAAAAACCAAGGCAAAATCGAAAAAAAAATCGCTCTTCGACGGTGATTCCCTTAACTTTTCCAATTTCCGACTTTTTTCCTCATCGGCCTCGTGGTTGAATTGTGTGAAGTAGCTTTGCTTCGTGGTTAAATTCTAGTAGTAGTAATGGCAAGGCCAGTGAAGCACCTGTGCAAAGAGACCAATTGCATAGGGCCTCACAATGCAAGGGGCCTCAAATCAACAAAGTTCTTTAATATTATAATCAAAGAAAGAAGCAATTAGTCCAAGTTAATGGCTTCAAGCGTTAAATAAATTAGAACTCTCAAATTTCTAACATTATAATTATTAAACAATAGTGGGTAGGGCCCCTTTTTGTGAGATGTTAAATTTGAACAGGACCTCTGTACTAGCGAGGACGACCTTGAGGAATGGTGTGGTGGTTGAATTGTAATATTAGTAGTGTGGTGGTTTGATGAAGCAAAATCAGACCTAGAGGTAGGTCAAATACTTGAAAGTGTGGGAAAGGGTAAGAGATCCTCATCTTCAAGTACCACAATTGAGAGGATTCGACCTTGTGACCTCAAGGTTACAAGGTAGATTCCTCTCCAACTACACCAAGCCAAACCTTACTTGATTATATAAGCGTTGTAGCGTGGTTAAGTACCTTTAAAAAATAAAGGGATTAGGACAGATACAATAATTTAGGACAAATTCAGATTAACTAAATAGGGCCTAGATGTACTCGTACCTGAAATGTGCAACCGAAAAAAAAAAAATATATATATAGTAGTGCAACCGAACCAGAATTCACACATCTTACTGCCCCAACCACAAGGAAGGCGGGAACTGCATTAGAAGTCACCAAACCAAAGCTAGCAACGTCTAATCATATCCCTTTCATCTAAAAAAAATCCACCAAACTCACCTAAATTACTCTCAATGAACTCTGCTGCTCTTCAATCTGACATTCGATCAATTTTTGTATTGTGAATAGATGTTCTAACTCTGCTGCTCTTCAATCTTTCATTCGAGATGTTCTGGAGGGAAAGAGAGAGAGAAATCAGGGATAACAATGGCGGCCCCCCTATTGGCACGGTCCGTGTCTTAGTTGTGGGAGATTCTGGTAATTTTTTTTGTCATCAAGTAGTTAATTTGATGCTGAAATTTTCTGGGTATTGTTTATTTTTGCTGTTTGATTTATTGATGTTCATTTATCTTTACAATTGATTTTTTTTTTTTTTTTTTTTTTTTTTTTTTTTTTTTTGTGGGGGTTTATGTTGATTTTTTCAAGTTTACACCTTGTTTAGAATAGGAAGAAAGTAGGGTTGAAAGAAGATATGATGATTTATATTATTGTTTCCTCTTATTATTTCATTTGTGGGTTTCATAATTAGTTAGTTATGAACATTGAAGAAACTGCTATAATCTTATTTGTGGGGTTTTGTTGGGCATTTCTGATCATTTTTGTGTTATGAACTTTAACTGTATGTGCTGTAGCAAACATGATACTGTAGTATTGCTGAGTCCCATCTCTGGAGACCCGTGTTTTGGTAAACAGTTGCCGGAGCGGCTTTTAATCTTTTGACCTATCCATATGATGTAAGTGCATGGAAGGTAGACATTGTTGGAGGTTCAAGCAATGTTTATGACATCGAATCGATGTTGAATTGGGAATGTCGGAAAGCTGCTGTTTACTCTATGTAATTTCAGTTTAATCAATAAATCCACCATATTATTGCAATTGTATCTTTCCTTCTTTATTATGAATAGTTTGATTTGAGGTAAGATAAGATATGGACTTTTCATTGTGTCACAGTTTGTTACATAGATGGTTAATCTACTCAGATATGGACTTTTCATTGTGCACCTTATTGCCTTCGCTATACTATTCTCTTCAAATGAGCCGCATTGGTGTAAATTTATGAAACATCAAATTGACTGACTTGGCAGGTGTGGGTAAGACATCACTTGTCCATCTCATTCTAAATGGTTCTGCAGTAGCACGTCCTCCCCAAACAATTGGTTGTGCAGTTTCAGTTAAGGTGCACTTCATGCTCTTTTCCTGAGTTTAAGGTGGTATAGAACAGTGGAATATATATTGCTATCTCGGCTTTATGAATTGGAATTAAATTAATTTAACTTTTTGTAGATTCATATAGTAGGTTATGCACTTATTCAACAACTTGTTCCACTTTCTTAAGGACCTATTCTTTCTTTTGGTGGCAGCATATAACTTATAGAAGTTCTGTGAGCTCATCAAATGGCTTGGAGGGAGATGTAGATAGAGATTTCTTTGTGGAACTTTGGGATGTTTGTGGACATGAACGCTACAAAGATTGCAGATCTCTTTTCTATTCACAAGTGAATGGTAAAGGAGCCTTTTGCTTTATGGGTCCAGAGAAAGTACGGCAATTAAGGACTTAACTGCGGTCAACAATCTGTTGACTACTCGTCTACTCATGCTTCATGGGTGCCTCTAGATAAAAATGAAAGAGCAATATATAAATTATGCTTATATCTTATCTACTGAAAAAAAAAAACAAAAAAATCATTAACCATTGTATGGTATGTTTTAACTTGAACTAATATTAATTTTCAAAACTCAATTGATTAAAAAAAAAAAAAAAGTGCAGTTACTTCTTATCACACTAATTCAGTTTCTAAATATTATCATGTGTATACAATTGTATCATTTGGAATGAGGGAAATGTAGACGTGTAGCTTATTGTTCTAACATAGGTGAGTCTTCACATAGTTAGTGATTATTGGATTGTTGTTGCTTCATAATTGCTGGAGAAATTAAATAAGAGTGCTAGTATTCAACCTCTTTTCATCTAAATCCCCAGCTTCCATACCTTAGTACCCATGGACTGATCTTTAGAGGTCAGGACTTCTGCTTCACCAGTTTCATCTCTGAGAGAATAGGTTAGGTGGAACATCCATCTCAGCTATGTTAAATAAAATGTCCAGGAGCCTTCATCATTTATTTCTTCCTTCCTGGTTGTATGAATCTTCTTGTCTCATGTATTGTACTTCGATAACCTAAGATTGCTGCTTCTACTATATCCTTCACTGCAGCTGGCTATGCAAATGAAGCCATGATTCCTTTTATTTACTGGTAAAAGAATACTAAATTCTGTCCTTATATCCGGTTATATTCAACTTTTGGGACCCCCATTGTGTTAGAATGGAGATGTGTTTTGACACATATTATAGATGAAGGTATTTCTATTGAGAAGAATGTCCCTGTAATCCCCAGTCTAATGGCTTAATAGTTCTTTTCTATCCACCAAAGTTGGTAAATAGGCAATTTTGCTTATCTGGGTACTGCATTTTGATTGGCCTCCCTAGTTATTATTCATCTAATTTGAGGTGTGTGCGACTTTGGGATGAACAACCAGTAGGTGGCTGGTTTCAGTATAAGTGTTGCTTTCTTTGGTTCCTGAATATTAACTCTGTGATAAGTGACTTTTTATTAACTTCCTAGTGGGTAATGTTCGAATAGTGGAATCTTGAATATTCAGGACTCCACATATATGTAGGAAACATTTTTAGTTATAACCTTATCTATTCCCATGGAAGGAAAAATAACTTAACTTATTTGGCAGGTTCAAATTTTCTAGTAGTATCATCTAGGGGGAAATGTGTGCATATTATCATGCTGGCTTATGCTCTTATCTTTTGTGGAACTATTGCAGGTGTCATTTTTGTTTATGACATCTCTCAAAAGAGGACAAAATCAAGCCTACAGAAATGGGCTGCTGAGGTCACTGCAAATGGGACTTTCTCAGCACCTCTGGCATCTGGTGGGCCTTATGGGCTTCCTGTTCCCTATATTGTAATCAGTAACAAAGCAGATATCACAGCAAAGGAGAGTGAAAGAGGCAGCAGTGGTAATCTTGTTGATGTTGCTAGGCAATGGGTTGAGAAGCAAGGTCTACTTTCATCTAGTGAAGACCTTCCAATGACTGCAAGTTTTCCTGGAAATTCAGCCCATATTGCTGTAAGTATTCAAAGTCTCAAACTTTGGCCTATATTTGCTCGTACTGGAATTTCCTCTTTATGTAATAAGCTGTTTCTACTTTCACTAAACATGAGGGGAGGGATCCTGGGAAAAAGTGAGATTCTTATTTCACGAACGAATATATAATGCATATGTAGCGAAAGCTATATCAGGGTACATGTAAGATGCCTCCATTATCAAGGGTTTGAAATGTTAACTACCCCAAAAACAGAATTTATAACAACTGCATGCTTCTCTAGTGAAAGCTAAATGCTATAAATTGAATTTTTTTGGAGAAGGGGAAGTTAGGAAGTTGCATAACAAAATTGTCTAGTAGCTTGTAGGAAAAGACAGCTAGTTAGTAAGGGAAAGCTTTATTTATAAAGCTAACTAAAGAGAGATTTTCATGCGGAGAGAGAGTTTCTTGGAAGAAAATTCACCTCTCGAAATTGGAATTATTTTATATAGGCAAAATTGGCCTCAGCTAAGTGCACCCATGCTAATACTTCAGGGTGTTTTGGCTATTTTTCTTAGTTCAGTAGTGCACCCAAGCCAATGTTGAGGCCAATTTTGCCTTTTATATATGGCTGTAACTTCCAGACTTTAATCATCAATCTCCCCCTTCTTGCATTATTCTTACATTTAATTCCAAATTTCAGTCCATTGTTATGATAATATATAACACTATCATAAGAAAACTTTTATGATGAAATGGGCTAAAATTATTAAATAAATACTGTTTGCAGTTGAAAGGCTAAAATCATAATCACCTAATCAAAAATTATTCCTAAGTCCACTAACTATGCAGATAGGGAAGAAGGGTCGAACCATAGGGAAACAAGTCAATTTATTCCTAATTAATCAAAAGTAATCTAAATTATCAAGTAACCAATTTGTTGTTATTTAAGAGAACTAAACTACTAGGAATAAAAGTAAGGAGAAATAAAAGTAGGGGAAAATCAATGAATAAAAGACCTAGGGCATAGGTTCACCGAAAAATAATATTCCAAGGTAAAACATAACAATCAATTATCAATGTATCAATTATTCAGATCATAAAGGGATTTCGCTACGTATTACAATCAGAGAGTTAATTTACCGATATTAAATCTCATCTCTCAAATCTCGACTTTACCATTTATAAATTAGTCCGCCTTTTGAAACTAAGCGTAAACATCAATTCTCATCTCTCGAATTTCGAATCAATATTGCATAACTCATACAATTAAACTAGGCCTAATCTAATTGCATAGCATTAAATCAATCAATAGGAAATTAATCAAGCATTGACAATCAACAATAACAAATTACCCCTTAATATTATTTATGCATCCCCACAAACCCTAGAAAGGGAACTACTTACGTATAATTAAATCTAAACTAATCAATGCAATTAAATAAATCATGATGAAATAAAGAAATAAAATTATTGAAATTAATAGAGAAGAAATCGTTACCAAAATTAACGGAAATAATGAGTTGAATCAAGAACAAAGTGTAGAGTTGTAGAGATAGAAAATAAAGCTAAGTAGAGAGAGAGAGAGAGAGAGAGAGAGTCTAAGAGAAGAGGTCACTACTACTAAAAACACTAAATCGTACTTATACAAAACTCCTAACAAATCCTAATTAGAACCAAGTAAATCGCCGAAAACACCCCATCAGAAACACGTGCCCGATCGGGCCCGCCTTTCTCTTCGCTCTCTGATTCTGAGCAGCCGCCCGATCGAGCCAAAGGTTGCCCGATCGGGCCTGGCTATGCTTGGACTTGGATTGGGCTTCACTTCTTAGCCCACTCCGAATTTCTACTTTGAGGCTTGAATACTCGGTGCCCAATGCTCGGTATTTCACATGTCGAGCCCTTAATAACTGGCTCGATGACTCTCCAATGCTCGTAGTCGTGCACCTCCAATGAAAAGTGGTCGTGCACCTCCAATGCTTGTAGCCGTTCCATGAAATCCCCGGAAAAATGCTCCAAAAGTGCAATTCCCTACAAAACTCAACCAAAAAAACAAAAACACTAGAAAACACCAATTAGTAATAAAAGTGGCTCTAAAGAGCCAAAAACACTACCAATTATGACCAAGGGACGGGGGTAAAATACGATATAAAATGGACATATCAGCAGTATTGTAGAAAACAATAAGAAAAGTGGGTATTGCTCTAGAGAGGGGATTTATAGACATGCACAAAAACACTGGGACTACTCTCTGCGCGCGCGTGTGTGTAGGCAGTACTTTATGTGCATGTGTGCGCTCCCGCACGCGCGTGTGTGTAGGTAGTAGTTATTATGCTTGTGTGTGCGAGCACATGTGTGTGTGGCAAATATTCATTACGGGAATAAAGAGTCTCCAAGTAACTGCCACAAAACCCTTGCATTTGGTTTTAAATTTTCAGCCATCTGTTTTTTTTGGAGTCATTGAAGTATTTCTGACTACATTAGCTCTATTGCCTCATTAGCAAAGAAGTGTTTGTTAGAGAGTTACATTTTATCTTCACTTCTTCTAGATTTGACTAGACTGTGTGAGGATTAGTTTTGTTATGACTGGATGGTTTATGTTACTGGCATTTTTCCAATCATGCATATTTAATGGAATCTGATATCTGTTGTTTTTATTTACATAGGCTGCTAAGGAGGGTAGATTTGATAAGGAGGCTCTGATGAAGTTTTTTCATTTGGTAACCTTGAACATTATCTCCATTTTGGTCTGATCATGCTGTCCCTGGGTTTCTTTTCTCTATTCCCTTCTGCCTTTTCCACTTTATAATCATAATTAATGTAAGTAGTGTGAACTGTGAATGACTGAAGGCTAACATTGACAACTTTCCTTTTTTTCTTTTTTTTTCCCAGTTGATCAGGAGGAGGTATTTTGCCGATGAAATACCTGCACCATCTCCTTGGGGTCTTACATCTCAAAGAACTAGTCAGCATTCAACTGAAATCTCAAGTGATGAAGATATTTTGCCCCCATCTGCAAGGTTTGTTTCATGCTTTCCTTTTTAATCACTGCACTTCTTGTTTTTTCCACCTTGAAAGGAACAAAACTGGTTTGACAGAGATTGCCAATTCATATAACTTTCTATGAAATGTGATCTCTCTTCGAGGGTATAATTTATTTTGCAGTCCAGTATCCCATTATTGCACTACTGAACCCTTCTTGGGGCAATTTTTAACGTGTAAAACCTTATTAAATTTAGTGGAAAAGCAAACCCAAAGCATTTGTAATTTCAGTTTTTCAGAACAATGTAAGAGCTTATTTTAAAAATGAAGAAGAAATGAAGAAAACAACTTCTTCAAGGTCATCGCTTGGTAAAGATTATTGCATTGGCAAAATCAGGTGCGATGAGTTGATGGCTGATTAGTGTAAGATTGCAAACTGCTTGTACTTTGAACTATGCTCTGTAAAATGTCTTGCGGTCTTGCTACAGCATGAGCATTTGCAACCTGACAATAAATTACAAATAACTAACTGGTTCAGTTTTTGAAGTTTTTCTATTGAATTTGATGAGGTTTTATGAGTTCTGGGTTACTGGAAGGGGTGAAAAGGTACACATGTGGCCATGTGGGTTTATATTAGCAAAATACCTTAAAAACAGTCAAGTTCCCCTTTTAAATTACATTTTTGATGTTTTCATCATTTGCTAAATATTTCAGTTGCTGGTTGATACTTGGTTACATACATTGTCTATATCATCATGTAGTTTCACTGGCTTTATATTTGAAGAAAGTTTCTGGCAGGGGGACTTTAATGAAAGGAAGCTAATGTAGTTTCTTATTTATACTCATTGATCTACGAACATGGAGTTCTATTTGCAGTGTGTAAGAGATACTATGTCATTATGTGGCATATGCTTTTTTTTTTTTTTTTTTTTTTTTTTGACATTTAGTACATTAAACGGAAACATTCTCTGTTTGATATTGTTAGTTAAATCCAGACATTTGTATCCTCATGTTCTTTAATTTCGTGATGTATATTGCAGGTTGAGCAGCAATCTGTACAATCATAACGTCCATCCTCCTCTTCCAGCTCAACGTAATCTTCCACCTCCTCCCACTTTGTACCCTCAACAACCTGTATCCAATTCTGAGAACTATAGTTTCCCAAGAATCTATCAAAATATATATTCAGAGTTCAGTTACTCCAAATCTAAGCGAACTGATATTGATGTCTAGTTAGTAGGGAAGCTAACAGCCTGCAGGCTTGGACAGGCTCTTTTTTAATGCTTTGGTTAGAATTGCCAGATTGCCGGCTGGTTATCATGTTTGTTCGAGTGCAGCAACCTCATGTAGTATTTGTTTTCTTTTCCTTCTAAAACTAGCCGATGGGTGTTTTGGCAGGCGAATAGAAGTTAGAGCGACATTGATCCTTTTGTTGCGTGTAAATGTGGGTGTTGTTTGTATATATTCTTCCCACACAATGATATGGCTGATGTACAGGGAGGTCACTATAATGAAAATGAAGGTTATTTGTCAATTGTTTGTGTTAAGGGTTGAAATGACCGACTCTATTTGTATCTAGTTTATCTTTGAAATTGATGGTGGTTCCCATTCTACTGAATTGAAATGACTGACTCTATTTGTATTGTATAAAAGAATTTAACATTGTGGATATCAACTAGCTTAGCTGGTTAAAGTATTGGGGATGGTATACAAAACTTAAAATAAAGTTTTGTCTACATCAATGTCTTTGCAACTCTCTACCCACCAAAAAAAAATTCTAGGAAGTATGGCCATTTAAAAATTGCCCCCATATTGTTTTTTGCAAGAATGGCTTATCAGAACACTTCTAGTAATTGTCATTACCTTTGTGAACATGTGACCTTTTTTTTATAGGCTATTGAATAATGGTAGTTCCCGTTCCTTTATCTTGGATGGTGTCCTATATTGTAGTTAGCTATCTAGTAGGGTTTGGCTTAGGCGTTAAGGATAGTATATAGGTAGTGATTGATGAGATAGTTAAGATTGGATATCAAGTATAGGTAGTGACATACTTGGAAAAGGAGAGAAATATGAAGCAACAATGAACCATAAACTATGTATTTTTTATTTTAAACAATAAATGACAATTGCAACATTGCTAGCTCGAATTTATGGATGGTTGAGTTGCATCCTTCAAATCATTGGTAGCATAGAGTTAACTGTATTTGGAAACACTATAATTTGTAGAGCAAAATCAGCAAATATTACTACACATAAGACTACCTTGGGAAAAATGTACAAGATATAGAGAATCTATATTTCTTGTTTAGTACACGTGAAATTATTGGAGAAATATTGAACAAAAAGGAGGGAGAATGTTAGCTTTCAAAAGGTAACAAGGCCTGTTAACACCAGCCACGATTCTGCAAAAATTCCTTTGTTCTCTTCCTCATGCGAGTGAAAACAATGATTGCACAGGTAAGAACCCAGGGAGGGATTCTCCATCCCTTCATGTTAAATTTTTCAGCCCAGACGGGTGATTCAGTTACCACAACAGCTATCAAGACTGTCATAAGGGCCACACCAACAACAATCCTTGTAACAGGTTTGATCATGGAGTCCTACAGGAAAATCACAACAATAACAGGATTAGTCAAAAGGCTTATAAACCAAGGAGAACAAATAAGTTAATAGCAAGCATTGGTATTGGTAACTAACTAGTAAATATAATCTCTCTTAGTTAAGACACAAGCATAACAACAGGACATAATATAGAGATGGAAGCAGCACAAGGAAAGCCTCCTTGCTTGCGATAAAAGTTACATCAGAGTTTTTACCAAGGAATAAAGGAGCTTGTAATCCTAGTTTGCTAACAGCACAAATGTATCTTTAAGGCTTGTAATCCTAATTTGATAGAGAAGAGAATAGTTGTGTTTCATGTATGGCTAACAACGGCAAGAAGACCAAAAATGCAGACATTTTGAAAACCATGAAACAGATTTAAGCACTTATGGGAAAATGCAGGATGTGCTTTCCTACTGCAGGATGGGGAAATAAAGACTATGTGTGATATGATTGCAGGCTGGAAGGATGTAGATGAAAAGCTGAAGAGGAGGGGTGCAATTTAGCGTGGTATGGTTGGGCAGAGAGAAACAAAAAAATATTTGAAGACAAGAGTACCCCTGATGGAGTTTTGATGGAAAGAGTGGCAAGATTGGAGGAGGAACAATGCAAGTATGTTCAGTGAATATATGCTAGACCAAGCAACAAAAAACAACGGCAGCAGCGTGTATAGAGTGCTCCACCTCAGAATGTGGTCAAGTTAAATTCTGACGCAGCTCTGAATATTGAAGGATGGGTTGGACTCGGAGTTGTGGCAAGGGATGATCGTGGAGAAGTTATTTTTACTGCTGTTCGTAGACAGCAGGCCTGGTGGTCTCCTAGCATCGCTGAGGCAAAAGACATTGTTATGGCTCTGAGGCTGGGCAGAAAGTATGGTTTGAGGGATGTGGTGATTGAATCAGATCGTGATCTGAATGCAAAGAAACTATGCAGGGCTACTATCTACTGCACTGAGCTTGATTCAATCCTTGAAGACATCCTTGTGTTGAGTAGGCACTTTAACTCCATTAGTTTTTCTCACATTAAGAGAGAAGACAATAGTGTAGCACATGCACATCATGTAGCAAGAATTCTCCCTTTTGGTGTTGAGCAGGTTTGGGAATGGCATAGCCCTTTGGAAATCACCCCTATGTATTGATGGATAAAGTTGCTTTGAGTTAATAAAATCTCAGTTTACGTTTTGTCAAAAAAAAAAAAAAAAAAAAAAGAAACGGATTTTTGTAAAATGGTAAGTCTGTGAAAGGGCTCCAAGATTTGTTCAAATTTAAAATAGCAAAGAATATAGCTCTTGATATTGCTTCTGATAATGATCACTGGATGATTAGGGAGCCCGATGACCCAAATACTAGGAAAAAAGTCACTCAAGTCTAATACTCAATATATCAGGTTGTCACTGTTGAAGATTCTGAAGATTAAAAAAATAAAGAATTGTATATCAAGATTTACGATGAACCGAAAGACAAAGTGTCAAACTTCATACCATGAAGTTCCTAGTTTCAAAGATGGAGATTTTTACTAGTGTTCTCTTTATATCATTATTATTGACTTTAAAAGTACTCTTATTGTTGTTGGTAGAGATGATATATTAGTGGGGTCATGTTCATTAGAGTTGTTGCATCCAAAACATCCAATTTATCATTTATGCTAATTTCTATCAGACTAATGACAAAGACATCCCGAACACTAAAGATTAAGTAGAAACACATCTCTCTAAGAATTAATACCTCATAAAATTCTCAAAGTCTCTAAATCAATCCTATCCTCACAAATTACAACTCGTAACAAGTAACCAATAGCAACCAAAATAATATTAAAAATTGGATATCTATTTAATTACCACATAAAACCTCATGATCACCACATTAATCAAACAAAACGAAATTCAAAACAAATGCATCCCATCATATCAAATGAGCTATAAACACAGTAACCTACTTCCAGCATTCATTATTCATCATATTTGCAACACTTCCCTATTACAGCAATTTCAAATTAATTTCAACATCACTTTGTTTGGTAATTGGTTCTCTACTTTTCCCTATCTCTCCTCATCGACCTCATAAATAATGGAGCCTCATGGCTAGCACTTATTTTGGAATGTCGAAAGTATAACTATTCAGCCCCTCATATCATATATCATAAATTCCTTATAAACATAACAATCTATGAATATAAATAAAAGTCAAGGTGTTTATCACTTAAGCTCAGAGGCATAAAGGTAGCAAATTCAAATCTCAAATCCAACATCTTAAAGCAATCAAACCTAATTCAAACTTTCAAACCAAAATAATAAAATTACAATATTAAAAACAATCCACAAATACCCAGAAAATCAATCAAACCAAATCACACTAATATATGATGAGGAGAGGTAGGGAGAACCAAACAAAGTGATGTTGAAATTAAAGCAATCATATTTAAAACAATCCACAAATAACCAGAAAATCTTAAAGCAATCAAATCTGTAAAACTCCCAAAACTAAACTCTAGTGACCACTCAATAATTCCAAAACTATAATCAATCAACTCCAATTTAAATCCAATTAATAACAAAATCCCAAAACCTCAGCAATTTTTTTTGTAATAAAAAATTCAAAACAAAATGATTCAGAATAAAGAAAACCATTAGAATCAATCAAATCCAGTTTAAACCTTACTAATAACAAAACCCCAATGATTTTTTGTAATCACAAATTCAAAACAAAATTAAACAATAAGTTAGGGAATGAAGAAAACCACTAAAATCAATCATATCCAATTTAAACCTTTTTATAACAAAAACCCAATAATTTGTTTGTAATCATAAAATGAAAACAAAAAAGGGAATGAAGAAAACCTTGGGTTCACCATCAATGGAAATAACAGAGCCATCTTTATAAGGAAGCAAAGAGCGGCCATTCTTAGGATGAAATCGAATCGGAACAGTACGACCACCATCATTAGGATTAAAGGCATAAATACATTTGAATCCATATTCCTCCATTATATCTCGAACTTCTAATTGATCTTGATCCCAACCACCAAGAGTTGATTTTGCCACCGCAATCGGACCCTTTCCTTGTCGATAAACATGGAGTTCAATCTCCGGTACTTTTGTTTTCACTGATCTTCGATTTTGTTGGGTTGGTGTTTCTGGTTCTTCGATTGTTGTTGAAGGGGTGATTTCTTCGGATGTGGGTTTTAGAAGAGGGGTTGTTTCGTTGGAATCCATTGCTGATTGACCTTCTCTTTCTCTCTCCTCCGCCATTGCTGTTTTGTGGGAGTAGTATTACCGATTTTTTTTTTTATTTCTTATCAATAACTCTATACTAAAAGACACGTGTCATCTCCTGGTGTGTCCTTAATATATATATTTTTTTTAAAATAAAAAAAAAATAATTCCAAAAATGTTGATCAATCAATCTTTAATTTCAAATACTAATTTCCTAGAAAAGCAGCAAATCAAACGAATATAATTCCAAAAAGCACATCAATCAATCTTTAATTTCAAACACTAATTTCCTAGAAAGCAGCAAATCAAACGAAATAATCGTGCATATATAATAATATATACTTTTGGTAACAAAACATTCTTTCAATTTCGATCTCCAAGATCACTAAGATGCAACTCATGCAAGTAATAATATCAGCTTTTCCAAATTTTGCTCCAAAAAGGAGATATTTTGCATATATATATGTAAATAATAATCAATAATAAATATAATCTTACGGTAATCTGAAAAAAATATACTAAAAAGATACAATATATTTAAATAATCACCATAAATCTTATTATAACTGTCCTAACATATATACTACGGTTGATATTAATCTTCCCTTAAAAAACAAAATCCAAGCTACTCATATATATTAAGGTTGATTTGCAAACTTCCCTTTAAAAAATTCAAATCTTAGCAAATCATATTATTATTGTTAATTGATATGCAATCTTCCCTTAAAAAAAATAAAAACAAAATCCAAGCTACTCATATATATAAGGTTGATTTGCAAACTTCCCTTTAATGAACATTGACAAATGCAATCACCAACGTGAATGTTAACATACATGAAGAATCTCATAATGTGAACTAATAATTCAAGCACATCAATCAATCTTTAATTTCAAACACTAATCTCCTAGAAAAGCAGCAAATCAAACGAAATAATCATGCATATATAATAATATAATATACTTTTGGTAACAAAACATTCTTTCAACAAAACATTGTATGTTGATATGTAATATTCCCTTAAAATCTTAGCTAATCATGACTATATTCTTACTATAATATATACTTCGTATTACATACGGTTGATATTCATTCCTTATATGATTAAATCATGCAATATTCTCTAATTCTTTTTACCTTTTTATTTTTATCCCAGATTTTCCAAAAACATCTTACCTAATCGGCCATTATAAAAAAGCATTAATGTGAATTTTTGAATCACAACCACTAAATAACTTTAAACGTTATTTTTTCTAATGACACAAAGTTTAAAGCTTATACAAAATATCAATCCGTCGAATGAAAATATTACTATACAGGCTAGGGTTATCTACTTATGGACTATTCCATCTTTTAATAATGCAAACGATGTACATTCTCTAGAGATGGTTTTACTAGATGAACAGGTATGTAATCTAATGTTTGTCATCATTTTTTATATATGTGTATAAGTTGTGCTAGCATCTTGCGGAGTTTCAATATTTATGTTTTTTTTTAATTTAATTTTTTTTTATCTAAATTAGGGAGGAAAGATCCAGGCTTCCGCAAAGAAGTCCTTCCTTGTGATATTTCAAACTAAACTAGCAGAGGGACAAGTTTATAACATTTCAAATTTTGGAGTTGGATTTAATAATGGGTCGTATAAACCCACGGGACATGAATACAAAATTCTTTTTAAACACTTAACTACAGTCAATCAAGTGGAAGGAGCAAGCATTCCCATTCGTGGTTTTGATTTGAAACCTTACAATTCAATAGTTTCAAACAAGCTGGACACCAATATTTTAGTTGGTATGATTAATTAAGTTTTTAATATATGTTTGTCTTACTTTATTTTTACACATAATTGATTTATTTATTTTAATCGTGAAAAAATATTACATTGGATATCTTTCCGGAATTTCATTAACCAATACATTTTTAAGAGATGGTAATCAACAAAAGATGATCAACATCCAATTGGAGGATTTGCAGCAAGTAGAATATAATTTTTTTTCCATTAATAAATACATTGTTTTTAGTCATATTTTATCATGCAGTATTAAGATTTTTATTTAATTCATGACACACCTAATTTTTTTATTTTTTATTTTTTTGTTATAGAAAAAATGTCTTGGATTGCACATTGTGGAATACATATGCTGACCAACTAAGAGACTATTTAGCCGAGCATCCAAATCGACAAGTTTTTATTGTCATTCAATTTGCAAAAATCAAGACTTTTCAAGGTATATTTACTTTTTAAATTTTTTATTCATTATAGTGATTTATTTTCACTTTATATGTGTGTGTTTTGAATTCTTTCTATACAATATAGGTGTTGTTAGAATATCAAGTTCACTGTTTGTCACTAAACTTCATATATATTCCAACATTACTGAGATAGAAGATTTCAAACAGAGGTATGTAATTTTTCTACGTCAAAATTAAATAATAATATTCTTATACAATTATAAAATGGCTTACGTGAATAATATGAATAAATTATCATTCAGTTTTGATGGTGGAGGAAAGACTTCTTCAGAAATGGTGGCACAAATAAGTAGTCATATCTCTCATGGACAAGAAAGCGAGTTTTTGAACAAGTCAGAGAGGAAACTTATTGATGAGATACATGAAATACAAGAAGTAAGCAAATACTTCAATTACATGCTTATATATTATATATATCTAATCATATATCGCTTAAATACCTACGGTATTTAATTTTTTTTTAATTTGCTCATAGTTTGTAACTGTGTGACATTGGCTACAATTGACTCTATTGATCTCGAAAATGGTTGGTTCTACCTCGCATGTAAGAAGGACTATAAGAAAGTTCAGAGTTTGGTTATTAATGAACTTACAAAATTTTGGTGTGATAAGTGCAATAATCATGTAGAGCCTGTTCCAAGGTTTAAACTACAAGTAAGAGTTGTTGATGAATCGGGAAGTGCTTCGTTTGTTATGTTTGATCGAGAGGTGGTGCAAGTTTTAGGAAAATCCGCTTTATACATAAGAGAAAGTCAATTAAAGGTATACATAATTCGTACATAATTATTACTATATTTCATATAAAAATAAATGGGTATGAACCTCATAAAACTTACAAAATATAACTTGATCTAATTTTTATCAAATAAAATTTCTGAAAAGTACGAATGAAACATGCATGCATTATCATAACTCTAATAATCTAATTTTTTTTCATGATACAGGATGGAGATAGTGATTCAATACCTAAAGATTTAGAAGAACTCTTGAAAAGAAAGTTTTTGTTTAAGGTTAAAATTACAAATTATAATCTTAAGCAAAATTCTCCTTTATTCACAGTGACTAAATTGTCTGATGATATGAACCTCATAAAACTATTCGAAGATGCAGACAATTTGAATAAGGTACTTATTAATTGCACAAAAACTTTATTCATTTACAATATATATACTATATACGAAGTATGTATTTACCATATTCTATTGAATGACATAGTTTGTGGAGCATGAAGAAATAGATGTGACTTCAAAGTCTATCAATATTTGCAAGGATCCCATCCAAAGTGAAATGGTATTGATATTATAGACTATATACAAAGATTTTCTTATGTTTTTCAACAAAATATCCATTATATATGTTTTTTAAACGTACTTTATTAATTATTATTTCAATTATGTAGGATAATTCTCTCAGTGACAAAGAGAAGACGGATGATAATTGTTCACCTATCTATATTATTCCGAACAAAAAGAGAAGCTTTGAAGAGATTGAGGACAGATGTTCAGAACTATCAGAAGGACATCTCACATCATCTGAGTTTTCAACTAATAAAACTCAACAAAAGATTGTTATCAAGACAGAGAAGGAATAAAGGAATAACTCATGAATTACTTAAAACCCAATTGAATAATGTTATTAAGATAGATGATAATTAAGTGATTTTGTTTTGAAGTAGTTTTTATGTAAGGTTTTTGAATTATTTTTTAATAATACATCAACTGTGATTTTTGCTGGTTTGATGATGTTTTAATTTTCTTATTGGTTAATTTAAGGCTTTGGTTTAGCTATATTTGTTTTATATACTAATTTTATAGAGTTGAGTTGAATTAAGTGTTGTATTTAGAAGATAATTGATTTCGTATCTTTCAAATATTCTAATGTTAATCCATGTCACTATAGCCTCCTTACATATAAGCAAATAAATAAGTCTGAATCCAACCTTTTTTACATCGAAATTTCATAGTTAGCTGCTCTTGTATGCAATCACCATATTCCTAAATGAATAAGTTATTCTATCTCAAAAAGCCACTAAAAACAATCACATTAAAATCAATTATTACAGCTATAAAGCTGTCAGCAATGAGAAGTAATTACTTTTAACCCCTACCCCCAAACACAAATATTACATAGATCAGTCTGAGTCTCCCAAATTCGATTGCATCCTTGACTTCACTGATCAATTTGCTTATATGTCAGATTGTTTCCTTCTCTTTTGTTAAGGGGGAAGGTGGTTCAATAGAGTTGCCCATAGTCTAAAATTGAAATGTACTTTTGATAGTTGATGTGTGTGGCTGGAGGAATATTCTCAAGACGACTTGGAAGCCCTTGAATCTGAATAAAATACTAAATAAAGGTTCAGTATATATCACTACTATATTTTATTATATCAACTATTATATATAATACTTTTATTTACTATAAATTTAATTATATATCATAATTATATTTTATTTTGAAAGAATTATATGTTATAATTGTCTGTAACAAAGAATCCTAATTTATCTTTCAATATATATACAGATCATATATAATGTATGCATAAATATAATTGACTCACTTTTTGGTAATTTGCAGTGCAATTTTAGCATATTGTGGATAGTGCATATATTATTGATTGATTTCGTATCTTTTAAAGTTTAAAAAGTTCATGTGTTACTAATTCAGAATATATATATATATATATATATATATATATATATATATATATATATATATATATATATATATATATATATATATATATATATATATATATATATATATATATATATATATATATAAAGCATTTGAACTGTTCTATAGAGACACCAAAAAAAGGGATCAATTGCTTACAAAAAGTGCAAGAATGAACCGATTAAC